AAGACAGATAGTAAGAGATAACAGTGCTAAATCTTTATTTTCGAGAATTTTTTTTCATTCTAACCATCGTCTAAACTACTGAAAGTAATAAGATACACATCTTTTATATTAGACAGCGTAAGTTTCATCAGAAGAATCGTTAACATAATTAACTTTGCTTTTCTAGATACGTCAGACATATTCTTGGGTGATGTGAGTGATTGTTAACTGCTCTAACGTCAATAATGCACAGGTTAAAAGTGGAGAGGGAGATTTTGATTGCACAATAATATCTTCAGCCTCAAATTACATCGGAACATATAGAAAAAAAATGAAAATATGATCTCTCTTCTACTATCTCGGTGGAGTTGAAGAACAAAATGTTTCGTAGAATGCTTACACATAAGATAATCGTCATAAAGACTATCTATATACAGTGAAGTGGTTACTTGTTAAAATGGAGACGTTATGGGCAAATGTCAAAGCGTAGTACTTCTGTTCGAAAACATAGGAAGAATGTTTCAACTATTGGAGATGGAAATCAGCAATTTAAACCGTATAACACTTCTTTTTGAACCCATTGTTGGCATTTCTATGGATTCAGTTAATAATTATAGATGGGCCTTCGTCTTTTCTTCTCTTTAGCTCTTATAAATGGTAAAAAACATAAACTTTGCTTCAGGATAAGTTCGTTTTACCAGCTTTAAAATTTTTCATTCATCACTAACGTGATGCGATTGAATCTTAATCATATGAAATGTTTGCAGCAAATTTTTAACTACTTACTATTATTGGGTAGTTTAAAATCAAAATTGAAAAATCCACTGTTAAATGTTTAACCTGAAGGCTAAATTTTGATTTATTATGCTCCACACGACTCCTCCATTGACTCGCAGTGTGTTTCATTTACGCTTTAACTGTTTTACAAAAGCATTCGCTGAGAGGTATCCTGACCAACAGTGGACTAGATGGATTGAAAAAACTTGGTCACCGAGTTAGTATGATCCATTGTATAAGGTGTATTTTTACTTGTGTAATCCCGGCATAGTATATGACAGTTTTTAGAACGAAACAACTATCCGGAAAAGCTATTAAAAAGAAGAGAAAAAAGTTTATCGAAAAAGACACGGAAAAACCAAGCCATGAGTACTATAGTACTTCCTTATCGAATATCCACATCAGAGGAAATAAGACGTATGCTTAGTAGTTACAACATCAGAGTATTCTTTAAAGTGACGAACACATTAAACTCACACCCGTGCAAATCAAAAGACCAGACTTCCTATTTGGAACAACAGAACTGTATTTATTAGGTAGACTGTAGTGAATACAATGCTACATACATTCGAGAAATATCACATCAGGTAGTAACACGTCTAACAGAAGACGGTCAAAGTTGTAAGAAACTACCAAAAAATTCCTATGATCTACAAAAACTTGAAAAAAGCTCTGCTATTGCGGCTCATGCCCTATATTCAGGTCATAAAATATCATTAGAAAAGACAAAAGTTCTGCAGAAGGGTTTTCTTTCTCACAAAGAACTGGCCATTGCAGAAGCTTTACACATCTGTTCATACCGTTCTTTGATCAACAGAGAAAATGGGTTAGACATCCTACAAATATGGCAGACATTAATAACTCGTGTAGGCAGTTGCAAATAATATATAAAGAGAAGGTAGAACACAATTTTATTTCTCTCCATTCTACACAATTTATTCCAAATTTACTCATGTTTGAATAATTTCCGGTGTTATTTCGCTTAATCATCTTAACCACGTCATATATATATATATATATATATATATATATATATATATATATATATATATATATATATATATATATATCCCATATAATCCCATTATACAATACTTTATTGATCCAATATTTTGATCAACTTTACGCTCCCTTCTGAGTTATATACATTCCGTGAAACATTCTATATATTATATAATCTATTTCGTTATCATTCGTACTTCAACTGTTATCAAAAGTACCTTTACCGTTGTCATTATTATTATCATTATTATTTTAGTGATACTGCTTGTATTATATCTTCGTTGATTGGACAGAATTGATCGGTCTCTACTGGTATATGGGCTGCTGTGCAGATGCTGGATGATGGACGGATAGTGGCTAGCAGTGGAGTCCAGGATGCGCATTTTATCCTATTTGGGACTGGTCAGCTGGATGTACCTACCTTTAGTGAGTGATGTTGTTCCCATCGATAGCTTCAAACGCCAGAGCGCCGGCGGTCTAGTGGATAACTCTCTGGCGCCTGAAGCGATCGGTCCCGAATCCCAGAACAGGTACATACAGCTGATGAGTCTGAAATATGACGAGATGCGCATCCTGGATTCCATAACTAGCCACTACCCATCATTGTTATTACTACTAATTATATATTGTTTAGTGTTCAAATATTCATCTTTCCTGACTAGTAATCTATTCTTTCTCACTCTTGAGGACTCACAACCCTATTGTACTTTTTATAATCGAACTAAAATTCCCTATCCTATTTTTGTTCCACTGTATTTGCACAACTGAAAAAAACCTCTCAGACCGAGCTGCTCATTAACTCACCTGTATTACATTGTTCTTTGTTTTATATTGCAGTGTAATTGGATGATCGTAAAGTTCACCTTCGGTACCAAAACTTGATTCCATACTCTTCAAAAAAGGATCTTCCTAGCAAGATAGAAATGTTGAGGAATAATACAAAGTATTTGTTTATTTTGTTATTTGTTCTAATATACTTCGGTGGGATTACACGAGTAAAAATACATCTTATTTGATACCTAACCTTTATTTTTTTTTCGTAAATTTGAAGAGACAGATTTTACACCAATTTCTGGTGCACCTACGGTTTTCATGTTTGCATATCCTTCGTATTGTCACTGTTGTTGACATCTTTCTTGAGACTTTGACCACAATCTTTAATGTTATTTCATCTAGAACATCCACTCTCAAATAAAAAGCTGTAGTTCTTTTGTTCTCATGGATGTTTACATGGAACGGTATAGAAAAAGTCTCACGGAACCTCATATTCTGATATGGGTATCAAAATGGTGTGGTGAAATAGGGTTTAGAACATCCTTTGACACTTTCTTTCCTAAAAATTAGGATACTGACGAATTCAAACACGTTTTAGAGCAAATACCTGAACTGTCGGAGCTATACAAAATTGAACTGAGGAAAACCGTTCAACTTTCTACATAAAACTTTGACAGGTTTTTGAACATTAATTTTACGACCCATTTCTATGTATTTAGCTACAGATGAAGAGGTTTATCGTTCACCTGTGCTTATCAAAGTTCCACACTTCATCTGTTTTTGTTGCCATTTAGGTACATGTCCTCCCACTCTCATTACTATATGACTCCATGACTCCTTTCTAAGTATGTGTGACCATGCACACATGTAAACTGGTAAACACAATGCGTTATGGCCTAATCATTTGTGTAATACTTAGGTTTTTAGTGAAGCATGTGTTATTTTTTCCAAAATGATAAGATTGGCTGCATAATATATTTTCCTAATGAGTGATATTAGCCTACGTCTCAAAATTATACTATTCAAGTCCTTTCTATAGGGTATGGTACGGTAATGTAGACACATTTCTATGGAACTATGGATAGAGTTGGCTTTGGAGTTACTTGACTTCTACAACGGTTTATAAACTCCAAAGGATGACAGTCTTCCACAAGTGTTTTGGTCAGGAATTTGATATCTTCATGCATCATATCTAATGTACAGATACGATAGATCTTAGTAAACAAGGATTTTATTAGATGTCGTTAGTACTGAATCGGACAAAAACTGTGAAAATTCCCCTATTATCCTTTAGCAGTTAGACTTTCTGTGGACTAACCGTCATATTGAATCACCTTCTTGTTGACTCAAGAGTTCATCTAAGGATGACAGATTATTTGTATTCTCTTCCTCACAGGTGACGGTAATATGGCTTTGTATGGTATTAGGTCTTTGTAGTTGACAAACCATATCCTCATTATTGTTATGTTATTTTTCCCTTGGGTTCCTAGTGGAACATAGGACTTCAGTAGTACGCCTCCATTTCACTCTCTTCTCTGCAGTCTTTTCAACCTGGCACCGAGACTGCTCACAAGCTTTCATTTCTTCCTCACCCTTGGACGCCCAACTCGTCGTTTCCTATATGGCTTCCACTCGAGAGCGTGGTGCATGATGTCCCCAGTCGGCCTTCTCACTGTATGCCCAATCCATCAACCATATCCTTATATTTCACACAAATCACTATGATGTTATCGATATATCTGTTGTAAACGGGAAGTTTAGCGATGAAATCACTAGCCAGATTTTCGATATATGTCACATTAATATCAGATAGTAATGGTCCTAAGGGACTTCTCATAGCTATACCATGAAATGAACTTTGTTGGCATACAGTAATAATAGTTACCTAAGAAAAGTTGAAGCAAAAGTGACTAATCGTTTCAAATTTTGAAGAGAATATTCCCGTCATATATTACTATCCTGTTAGACGAACTCTTCAATCTAAAATGTGAAATCGTATATGAAAAAGTAAAATTGTAGTAAGTGTTCTTCGATTTTTTTTCAAAAAAGTTTCAAGAAGAGTGTGTAAGCGACCTAAGCATGAAAATTCAACCACGTGAGAACCCAAACAACTTTTAGTGAGTTAAAATCTCCTACTTTGTAATGAACATAAATTTCGCAAGGAAATATTTCTTTATGGTGATACTGTTCCAGACAATGGCAATTGAAACATTTCACCTGTGTTTGGGTATTTGTTGAATAATTCATTTTCCTTGTCAGGTATTGAAAGAAAGATCGAAAGAAAGACCATTAGCCTGTTTGTTATCAAAGGTATTGAAGGTCTTATGAAAATTGTAAGTCGACAAAATTATTGGCTAATTCTCGTATTCCTTACATAATGCCTGCAACCAATCAGATTTCAACAATGTTCGCTTCCTTAGACTCATAGAAAAACTAAACCGAATATCTTTTACGCATCCTGACTATCATTTATATAAACTTATCATGCATTGACTGATGTTAATCTTTGTTTAACACCGATGACGACTAGAAGATCTAAGAAATCATTATCTGTAGAAGAATGTCAACTGAGAAAAGATCTGAAAAGGGAATTTCTCTATTTCTGTCAGACAACTACTATTCGTGGTGTTACAAGAGTTGTGAATGCTCGAAATCAGACCTTACAATCATTATGGATCGGATCAGTGATTCTCTTTTTTGGTGGTTTATTTGTTTGCATGTTCATATTAACTCGTCAGTATTTGGAGTATAATGTGATTCATCCACCACAAGTGCTACGTGATACACCATCACCGTTTCCATCATTAACATTATGTAACCTAAGACCATTATCTTCTGAAGCTAGAAGTCTACTAAAGAAATATAACCTGAAGTCACCTAGACAATTCGCCATTGACGTGAACAACTTTGCTGCCAAAGCCTATTATTATAGTAATGATATACATTCGTATCAACAGGTTACTAGTGCAATATCGATGGGAGGATATTTGGAGAGCCTACCTCAGAGTGTTGTTTCGAAACTTGGACACAATCTGAGTCATACAGTTATTCATTGTATGGTAAGTTACATATTGAACTTTGATAGGTAAATGTCTAGTGAGATGAATTTGCGCGTTCCCACTTTCTGTATTTTCGGCTACTGATATACCATAACATTCGAAAACCAAGAGGGAAATGGCTCTTAGCAGTGAAGTGTATAGTAGATGTACACACTCACAACATCGCAGTCATGATTTGTTTGAGTAGATAAAGTATATGGTAAAACGGCCAACGTAAACATGAATGATTTCGCCAACTTTTGACCAGATTAGTTAGCTATATGCTGTAACCAAAAGAGGATCAGACTTGAGAGCAGTATGACGGTTTCCCAGGCGTTATCTTGTTGTAGTCATGAGAAAACTTCTGCTCACTGAAGCAGTTTGACAGCTGTTGGCATCTACGAAGTTATAAAAATGTTACTAAGGATCATGAGAGAGAAATATAGGCTGTTACCACCAAGATTTCATTTGGTGCCCACTTGCTATCTAACTTGTTTACACCTACCACTTGTGTGTGTATGTCAAAATTATAAGGTTCGAAAGGACAACAAAAGAAATACCTGTAACACGGTGACGACGTTTGATTATAGTCTCCTTTGAGCTCCTCAATACTGTATAACGCGATGGGCGGTGAGATTACATGAAGATGATGAATGTGAAGAGCTGCTGTGCAATATGTACTATTACTGTAAGTGAACAGCTGTAAATCTCTGACCAATCATCGTGACCACATACTGGATTGTGGTGAACATTGGTGCAAGTACAATTATAAATGACTGAAACCAGTTTAGTGCTATCAGTACATTGTGAATATCACGATGACGATGGTACAAAAAAGGGATGAAGTAACCACGAATAAACGAAAAATGTACTGATTAATTACCGGAGTGTAACCTGTTTCATATTGTCTAGTCGTACTTGAATGCTGACTGAATCCTACTGATTATTTTGCAATATGACCATTGAGCTAGAAGCCTCATCATCAAGGTGGACTTTGATAGATGTTTATTAGCTGGATGCAATTGGCAAGAAGCCTTGCTTGACCGAGGTTTCATCCTTTTTGGCACTCATCAGCATTGCGTATTTGCGACATTGACGTGACTGATATCGTGCATGAGAGTCGAATACGTATCACCTAGTATTGCAGTCAAGAACGTTACTACTGAGCTATTCAGACCACGACTGACCTTCTGATTAGTCACTCAAGAGTAACCAACTTCATGCTATCTAGTTCTAAATGTTGACAGGGATGAAACTCAGGTCCAGGGCTTCCTGAGGATTGCCTCCAACCGAAAAATGATTAATGTAGATATATTTGATGCATAGTAGGACTACAGTGCTTGACAAGGTAATGAAATTCCACTTCTGCATGAAATAGGTAAAATTTAGTCCCATCATGTCATGTATGTAGTTTTATCTTCTCCTTCTGTTTGCCTATTTTCTTGTATTTCTCAATATCCATATAACTAAGGGTGAATGCATGAAAGTAAATTTTTGATACTTGTACAGTCTATTAAGCACAACTTGTAGGCTAACATGCATTCTAACGAATTCTTTTACCGTGGAATATAATTATGAGGGAAAAAAGGGAAGCATTTTTCACTAAGATGTAAAATTTACTGAACTTATATTGTATGTGAAATATAACATTCATAAAAATCTATCCTTATGGTTGAGTTAATAAAATTTAGTTAAATTACCAACGCATCATAGACAAGACACTTAGAACGCTTGGTATAAGACCCTAAGTCTAAGTGGTGAGTTTAACCCTTCTATCTGCCATCCATAGAAGATTATCTTTTGAGTACTACCTCCGTTGAAGGACAACAGATGAGAATAACTGTGGATAAGACTTAGTCATTTTCGACATAGTTTAAATAACAAGATATTAGTTTCATTAGGTAAAAGATATTTCTTCCCAATGAATCTATTATCAAGTTTTATTTCATTATTATTATTACTTGTCCCTTGGATTCTTAGGGGAACATAGACCTTCAGCAGCATGTCACTATTTCACTCTCTTCTCTTCAGTCTTTTGAACCTGCTTCAATGACTGCCCGTAAGCTTTCATTTCTTCCTCACATCATGTCCAGCAAGTCACTCTCGGATGCACAACTCGTCGTTTCCCATTTTGGTTCCGCTCGACGGCCTCCCCTGACCTGGCGCGTGATGCCCCAAAACTGTCTTTTCAGTGTATGCCCTACCGATCTCCATTTTCTTCTTCTGTATATTTCTTGGGCGTTCACTTCTTGGTATAGTTCTCTGACAGCCAGAGTTCCTTATTGCTCATTCGTTCAGGTCATCTGATCTTCAGTGCCTAGCGTAGACAGCTGTTGAACAGGTCCCACTGCCCACCATATTTTTATTTCACTGTAATTATCAAGGGTTTTCACTGACTACCATGTGAATTCGTGATGCGTTACTATCGCTTAATCGTATTCACACTAGTTGCTCATCAGTCAGGACTTCTCGTCCCAGTCCAAATCTAACTGAATTACAGAGGCAGACAGAGAGAAAGTATCATACTGGTTATCATTTAACCACCAGAGATAGCCGTCGTTTGACAGGCTAGTATTTTATACTAGGTGGTGATTGAAGGTGAAATGAGAAATCGGACCGCGACTGGACTCCAACCAAAGACCACCGAGTTACCGGCCCGATGCTCTACTAACTGACCCACCAGGCCCGACTGTTGACCAAATTTTTATTTCACTACATTCACCAGATAATCAAATGATCATCTATGTGATGCTCCCTCTCTCTAATTCAGTTAGATTTCGATTTGGATGAGAAGTTCTGACTGGTGGGCAACCAGTGTGAATATGCTGAAGTGGTAGTAACGCTTCATGAATTCACATGGTAGCCGGACAAAACCACGCTTGTCACTGAATTGAAATAAAACTGTGGTCAACAGTCCGACCTCCTTGGGTCATTTGGTAGAGCATCGGGCCAGTAACTCGGTTGTCGGTGGTTAGAATCCAGCCACGGTCCAAGTTTTCATCTCACCTTCAATCATCACCCAGCATAAAATACTCGTCTGTCAAACCACGGCTATCTCAGATAGTCGAATGATAATGAATTTTCCTCAACCATCAACTCTCTATGTTATTCATGTGTTTAGAACACGTTAAATAAGTTGTTGTGCGTTATTTGAAGCATGAGACATAAGTACTTCGGTCCTCTTTTCACCATGCAATCTGGAATTTCCACCCACCACTTTACAAATGAAAGATCTGTCAGCAGTTGAGTAGCAAATTGACATGCTAAACAGTTTGTTGAGTAATATGCTAATTTTGTCGGTGCTTCAACCCTAAACGACTGGTTACTGAAGTAGTCTTACAGTGGGCACGCGACGAGTTTACTGCTCTTCAGTTCATTCTCTCCTGCTATACAGCTGAGACATGACCATTAAGAGTGGAAGACATCAAATGATTACAGGGTTTTGATCACAGATGTCTCCGTAGCATTGTTTACGTTTGGTGGATTCACCCTGTGAGCAATGTAGAGGTGAGGTGAAGTGAACTAGGGAAGTTGATTGATGAAGTTGTGAACCTTCATCGAATGAGATGACTTGGATATGTACTGAACGTGCCTTGACACTGGCTACCTCGACGTGCCATCCTAAGTGTATGTGGATTAGGCTGGAACAGAGTTCACTACTTTATCTTCTGTGATATCATTCTTATTCTACCCACTTACACTACTGTAAAGTGTGGCAACTGAAAGCGACGGATGTATGTGTGCCATGTTCTACATTGTATTTTCAGTCAGTTAGTTAGTCAGTCAGTCAGTTGTTTTAGACTGTCATCTGGAAAGCGATCCACAATGGAAACAAGGTTGGTGAGACGATGATGACATTGAATTACATTACATTACATCAATTTACTACTCACATGGCAATTTTATTACTCAACTATTCGCTTCTTCATATTCAGACTCACTTATTTGTTCATAGTGGATCACATATTTAATATTTTGGAGTAACAGCCATCCAGGTTGTGAATTACATGACATAAGCGAACTCGATTATCTTTTCGAACCGCCTATCGTTCAGTTCACAATTCAAAGCACTGAAGTGTAACTTCATTCATAATAATGCCGCTTTTTTCAAGCTATCGTTAAAAGTGGAAGACATGAAACGATTACAGGGTTTGGATCACAAATATCTTCTTAGCATTGTTTATGTTTGGTAGAATCACCATGTGGATGAAAAAAAGAGGAATCATTGAAAAGGGAAGAATTAATATCAATAGGTGAAATAACGGTCAATTGTTGTCAATAAGTTGGGAAATGACGATAATCAAATTAAATTATGAAAAATGAAGTAGAACAAAATCAAGAAAGAAAAAGAAAAACTTATTGTTAAGACCAAGATACAATACTCTTTAGAATGCGTACTTCTGTCGTTCGATGGAAACACAGACCTTTAGTGTAGTTCAGTCTGCGTCTATGAAATACTTTGAAAGATCCATCTTGAGAAATTTAATGTCTGAACCCCATTTGGTGTTCATATATGGGTGAAGTTGTTGTCCTTTCATTCTCTTTAGTTGACAAAATCAGGTAGGGTATCACACCACTTTTCTAGAGGATCTGCTGAAAGTTTTGGAGAATAAATATCCAAGTTCTCAGTAACCTTATTACTTCTTGCATATCAAGAAGAAGGTGATTTTAACGGCTTTTCATTTACAACTTACGTATAGTGGTAGTTGTCAGGTTGATTATCTAAACGAATTACTCAACCTCTTATTCTTACCAAGCTAACTCATTACTATACTAATGATTTAGATTTTGAGTTGGAATAATGGAGAATATTTGTAGCTCAGGTGGATGGTCTTGGTTGTATTGTGTTCTCTCAGCTGAGTTGTTTAATCGGGAAGCTTTTATCTACTTTCTGGATGACATCATCATCATTAACTTCAGTATGAAGTACCCTGTCAATATCTCTCCATGAGTGATTTAGTGGGTTTTGCTCCGACGATGTGGTCTGTGATTGCTTGTTTCCTTCGATTGTTTTATCATTG